AGTTATAGAGTATAAATATGTATTATCAATACTTTGTAGGGAAATAACATTTTGTTTGAGTTACAAAGTCTAAATAATTCGAGATATCGCGTATTTAGGGGTTCATCGGAAGGGAATGGCAATTTTTTTTCCACTTACTGAGGATTTCCACTTACGAGGTTCGAGTTATTGAGATTCCACTGTAATAAATATTTATGTGGTTGCTACACATGCAAGTTGTCGTGATTTGATACAAGTGCTATGTATTAAGATAGTATGTTTGGCAGTCTGTTGCTACATAGTAGAGGGAAGATTCGAAAGTGTGTATTTTATGACATATTTTTCAAGAAAGAAAATATGCAATAAATAAATGTTAGTTATTATTGTGCATAAGGAATTCTATAATGTATACTTGTATGTTATTATTCTAATATTATATACTTTGAAAATTATATAAAATAGTTCATCAAGTTATTAATAAGTATAACCATAATTGAAGCTAGTCAAACGTAATATACTGTAGAAGTGGTTAACTAGAAACAAAAGTAATCAATGTGTTATCCAAATCTTTGTCACAATTACAAAAATCATAGATCTGTAACTTGCTAAAAGGGTTAATCTTTTCTTATTAATTGTATATCAAATTATCGATTTTAATACAATTATAGGAAAATCTACTTTTATTTGATAGATATTTGTTTAATAGCTTACTCCAAGTATTAAGAAGATTCACCAAATTTCTTTTAAAAATTCGAGTTGTTGTAAATTTGTAGTAAGTATGCAATAGTTACAACGGATTTATGTATTAGGTTGAGGAAAAAGTTTTTCCATATTTTATAAGTAAAAAGTTGCAGTAAAATCTCTTTGATTGTGTTATTTGTATTTGACTAGTTTTGATATCATTAAATAGATGACATTTTAATAAAAGAAACACAAAAAGTCAAAATGGTGTCCTGCCATTTTTCTATTGTTTATCTGTCCACTAAAATGAGTGAATCTAATGTAGAAATTCCATACATTTTGAGTTTTACAAAAAAAAAAGGAAAAATACAAAATAACTGCAAAAAAATTGTGACCTTTATGGACCTGATGTAGTGTTGCTAAGAATAGAACAAAACTTGTACAAGCATTTTCACTCCAGTAATTTTGATGTCAAAGGTGAAACCTCGTTCTGGTCGACCTGTTATAGTTAAAGTTGATCGATGCCATTTTGAAAAAAGTAGAGCAAGTTCAGCTGACCAACTGAAGAGCTGGAAATTGACCACAAAACAGTTTAAACCCATTTTAAAAAAGAGAGATATATAAAAAACCTGGTACTTTGCTCCCACACGAGCCCACTGAAAGAAATATAATGAATCAGGTACTCATTTGCGATTCTCTATTGAAACATAAATGGCCAAAAGGTAAGTAAGCTCCACAGACTATAACTAAACCCAGATTAACTCGCAATAAGTTTATGCTATGTGGGACTGAAAGGGCATTATTCATTATGAGCTTTTACTGCCATGCAAAACCATCAATTTAAATCTCTACTGCCAACAACTGACGAGACTCATGCAAGAAGTATAGGGTGTGGATTTTCACCGTGATGACGCCAGACCATCGCCCACATCTTCAACCGCTCAGCAAATATTGAGATAGTTTGGGAAGTGTTAATGCACCCACCATATAGCCCTGACTTTGCACCCTCAGATTTTCACCTGTTTCGGTCTCAGAATCCTTTAGGTAGTATTAGATTAACATAAAGTGAGAATTGTCAAAACTACTTATCACAGTTTTTCGATCAGAAGTCTCAAAATTTCTACAGTAATGGGATATGTCACTATCTACAAAACGGCAACAAGTTGTTGAACAAAATAGCATACGAATATTGTAATTAAACTGAAATAAACTATGATGAAAAACTATCTTGAATTTGCTTATGAAATAAGAAAAAACTTTTTCCACAACCTTATATTTTTAGGAAATAACCAATTGTACAAAAATAATTTGGCCGTAATAAAATGTATTTTTATTCCTGTCCTATGTATAGTTTTATTACACATTCCATACTGTGATATTATAACTTTATTATTTATTAAGTAAATATTTTCAAAATTATATTGTGAAAAAGATTCGAAAATCATAAAACTCCGAAAATATGTAACCTTTCTGAATTAAGTAATTACGTTGTTTGTTGTAGTTTTAATATAATTTTTCTGAAAAATTATGCTAAAAAAAAGGTGTGTTATTCCCAAAATTGTAAAACTACTGTCTGACCCGTTAGACCTTGTACTACCATTTCCGTTAGGTAGCGTGCCTAAATAGTGTACGTCTGCATTTTTGCTTGCGTAGGAATACAATGTCTCATTATTATTCTCGATCTTGGCCTCATTTTCGAATTTGATCCCGGTAATGTCCTTGATTCCGATTTAAGTCTCGCTACGCTTAACTAAGCCGATTTCAAATGCGAGCGAAGCCGCGCATTTGTAATGCCTGTAGTACGAATGCGCGACTTTGCCCGCATGGACTAATAAAACTTTCACATTTTGGATTATTACGTTAGTGTGGTTTTATTTATAACATCTACATATATGATATAATATTCTGAAATAAAATGTAATATATGCCTATCTTCAGAATGCATGCTGTTTTTTGGCAAATTTCGTCAAAGATATACATGTATATATATAATAAACATATAGACACTATATTAATTTTCATTGAACTTACCCATGAAACTATAAAAATATTGTAGGCGACTTCTTTTTTTTGGATCGATCGGAAGCTATCTTTCTATTTACCAAGTTTCATTGAAATCGGACAAATTATATGGGTGCTTATTAATCTTACAGAACACATTCAACCATAAGTCACTGGAAAGATTGTTAATAAGAAAAACTTGTGCAAATTTTGAAAAAATCTGTTAAACCGTAAGGGTTTTTAGTAATTCTTACGCAAGCCTAAAATATGTATTTCATTGGCTTCCAGCTATTTCCATACTATATTTTATTGAAAACGGTTAAATTATGAGAGTTCTTAGTGATTTTCACAGAACCAAAAAAAAAAATGTATGTAATACTATTGGCTTCCAACTATCTCATACAAAATTGTGTTGAATTTGGTTAAGCTATTACGATTCTTAGTCATTCTCACGCAACCCTTATAAATGTATCTTATATCCTTTCATTGGCTTTAATAATCGGTTAAACTGTAAGGTAGTAAGTAATAGGTACCCTAAAATAAAACCAAACGTTTCATACTTTTTATTATTAATAACTTTCGTTCACAGCTTTGCCTGTATCGACATAAAATGAATTGTTACATCTTTTATATTGACGATGGCGTTGTGCCCATCATCATGGTACCGATCCCTTCCAATTTTGATTCAATTCCGATAAATGATCCCATTTTTAAGAGTTTTTTCATTTAACAGACGGGAATCCTAAATGTAGCCGGGATAAAAGTACTCTAAATATAGTCCCGTCAATTCCTCTATTTTCGTGTTTAAGCCGGATCGGGATCGGTTCAACTGTTCCAAAGATATCTTCGATAAACAAGCGGATAGAGGTTTATTTTTGTTCGTACAAACTACCCTGACAATTACGAACATAACGAAAGAATCAAGTCAAATCGGTCAAGCTATTTTTGAGTTTTAGCGGGACTAAACGAACAGCAATTGATTATATATACATATATTTGTAATTATTGTTACCACAGGTATGTGCCTATGGGAAAACCCTAGTGCTAAATGAACCCAGATAGTTAATAGCACCTAAATTTAAATAGTCTACATAGCAAGCAATATACAATTTCACATAATTAAACCAATTTAAATCACATGTTTCTTGCTATGAAAATAACTACGGAATTCCTTATATTAAAACAAATACGTGTGGCACTCGGGGACTGCCGCGGTAAAGCTATTGCATAGTATTTTTTATCAACTTATGCAATTATAATTATTTATTTATTTATGCAGTATTTTTTTTGAGGAGGTGCCCTAACGCCGAAACTAAGCAGGCATGAGTCACCAGATTGCGGGGCGAAGAGGGGATTACGCATGCGCAGTAACGCCGATACAACCAATGCCACCTAGAGGCGAGTTGCTGAACTAAAGAGACAAGCGTGATATTTCAAAAAAGTTATTAAAAGTTCTGCTATTCATCGATAGATGGCAAAAGTAAAAAGTATCACCGCTGTGCAGGTCGGAGTGGGGGGTGTTAGGTTATTTTCGTTACGGAATTTCTGGATTCGGTCTCCACGCTCAAGGCCCGCGATAGAAGCTATGCAATAGCTTAAAAATAATAAAAAATGTCGGTGTTATTATTACTGCAAAATATATATTTGCTCTCTACATTGATTATTTTCTTTTATTTTTATTTGTATATTTATTTTTTCCTCTATCAACAATGAACCATGATTCATTGGGCATACAATTAATTAGGGTTCTTACAAAATATCTAAATTATTAACTTTTTAATACACTTTTTCTAAACTGCTCAAGAGGACCAGTGCCTACAAGTACAATTGCGTCTTGAATTTTTTTTTAGTATTGATTTTAAACATTGCTAGCTGTCCACAATGGTTAAATGACAATTTATTTATAACCGAATTATCCTGTGGTGTAATATTTGTGAACATGTTATAAAACGCTGCGATCCTAGGCTTCAGATATAGATTTTCTAAGTTATAACATTGGAATAAGAATTTTATTGTAGTACATAGACAAGAATTTTAGTCTTTTGTAGGTAATTGTTCATCACCATTATCTGTGGTCTGTACTCATTAACTATTACGCCAGCATCCTAAGCTCCGACCTCCGTGCATTTTCTGCGTAGGACTTACATATAAACGTGTGAGATTACGTAGTTTGTGAAACTTTTTAATTGAAGGACACTCCTTAAAGATCGATTTTCATATTAAATATGGAAATTTTATGAAGAGTGAAATTAATACATACGTTAAGTCAAAAGCGTTTTGTTTTTTCCTGTCCTGAGTCGTAATATTGTTTTGAATTTGTTGATGTAGGTATTTTAATATACTCGGTGGTATAGTGGTCAGTACTCCCGACTGCCACTCGGTAGTTCGGCGTTCGATTACTACTCACCGGTGAGGTTTCTTTTTATTCATTATAATGCTTTGAACATTTCAAATTAAATTAATGGTAGTTCAAATCCGTAACGTCACACAGACACATATCTAGAACCGCTGACTGGTAGAGGGCGTTCAGCCAAAGGCTCTCCCCTAAGCTGACCTTACACAATTTTTAGTATGAACTCGTGGATATGTATACTCGTATACAGCCGACGTGTACAGGGTATGGTATGCGACAGCTGACGCATGTAATGATAGATAGATATATATTAAGTATTCATTCAAGTGTCTCGGAAATGAACCTAACGATTTTGATACAAATTTGTACTTTGATAGTTTTGTTTTCCAAATTTATTTATATAATGTCTTCTAGAAAATGGAAATTAAAAAAATTCTTAACTGTTTCTTTATTTAGTGCACCTTCGTAGGATTTTGAGGGTTGCTGCTATATTATTAACTTTCAACAAAATATGGCTCCACACAAATAAAATACATAGGAAATTTTGCAATTATGTTGTGTTGTATATTGTATCTAAAACATTCATTATTAGAAATAAACATGAATAATGTTACCTATGGCAGGTTATTAAATTCCCACGGCAAACTGGAAAGACTAAGCAAACCTCGGTTCCCGTCACAAAATTTTGATTTCGTCAGCTAATTTTTATACGAATGTGACGAACTACTAAGATTCAAACTTATTCGCATCGGTGAATATGTATACTTTACTGTGAACTGACCAGATTTTCTACAAGAGTTGTGCGAGGCCCCGGCATCTGCACATCCCCCACTCCCTAAGGCCGCCGCTGCACATCTATTCAGATAGCTTCAGCTGTACTTTTCCCGTATATTTGACAAAAGAACCCGTGTTACTTTTGTCTCAATTGTCTCCATAAAATGAATTAACATTAAGGCAGCTTTTGTTTTGATATAAAATTATGGTCTTGTAATAAATTAAAAATATTCGTATTTCAAATGTTTTATTATAGAAAGTACCTATTTAGTATTATTACAGTCCAAATATACTTTTAATATTGTTTAGTAATTCATATAAGTTTGATTCGAGTCTTTAACTGAATAAATTTTATTGTGTTCGCCACACACAAAATATATATATTTTTTAATTCTGTAGGCAATGGGTCAAAAGTCAAAATTATTTTTCTATATAATTATTTTCAAGAATATCAAATGTTGATTATATACTGTGCTCTAAGTATCATGACTGAAATTATTAAAACTAAAAAGAAATTTTCTATTCACAAGGGCAATAATCAAACTTTAAAGGGGTATGCAGCTTTTTGTATAAATATTAGGAAACTGGATTCTATTAGTGGTTATTAACTAATCCAAGAAGACTGTTTATTCATAAAAATTGTAAATGAAATAATTGCTTCTGAACAGACTTACAAGAAAATATTCGCTTAAGAACCAATAATCACATGTTTTTTTTGTGTTTCAAATAATTACCTTAAACTCGATTAGAATAATGGACAATTCAGGGAACACTTTATTATAAGAAAACTTTATGGTTTTAGGTTAGAATCACTGCCATTCATTCTAGCTCTAAGATTCTTTCAATTTTTATTTAATTAGTCCAAAATGAATGATAAAGCCTCATTTTCACAAAATTACACAAGTAAAACATATGGATAAAAAAATAATGAATTGTGCAACAGCCTTGAATTCAGGAACATATAAAAGCTTAGTAATATTAACATTTTATGACATCTATAATATGTCAAGCCGATTATTTAATAATTTTGTATTTTCTACCTAATTTAGAACTAAATATTCTGTAAACTATCTTAAATCCATAAAGATTGTGTACCAATTAACTTTTTAAAAACTTAAGTCCTTTTGATTGTTCAACAATGCCGCTCGCGCTAATGTGAAAGAAGATATCGTAAGAAAATTAAAACTTTTAGGTACAAAAAAAAAATAGTAACTGCTGTTCCGTGTGAAGTCTGCAAGCATAAATGGACTTGCAATCTGTCATCATGAGTTCAGTCTCTGGCTACCTCACACTTAGAAAATACCGTGAAACTCCTTATTGTTTTAAAATAATTATTTTATTTAAATGAAAAAATATAATCACACTATCTAACTTAAATTAAAAACACGTACACTTCTGCGTAAGTGTCGGTGACTCGCAATCTTTCATAGAAATTAAACAGCTGTATGTTGAAACACTAACACCGTACGCCAATGGGTCAGCTCAACTGGGGTGATACAACACTTTTACAAAATAAAGATAGCAGCTTCCGCTGTTGCGTTACCTCCAGTGACTAAGTTTTAATGGCCCTCACCCCATCCATCCTATTTCTTATTCTAAAAGTTTTGATATTAAAAAAACACCAGATGCAATAAATTCTAACCTAAGGCTTGCAAATTATTAACTTTTTTTATTATACTTGTTTTATACCATTGAAACTTATTGCCTTGTTTTACTAAAGTTATGATTGCATCAAGATGCTTAATATAGATGCAGCATTCAAGATGTTTTTTAGTCCGCCTACTTAGTACAACTGGAGCTATTGCACTTGACTTCGTGGTAGTCATTTGTGTTTTATGTTATTCAGATATTGCACAATAAAATTTCTCAAAATTTATATCACTTTAAGTATCTGTTGAATTCACAATATTTCTGTTATTTTCAATATTCTAAGAATTCTAGTTCTCTAAAATAAAATAGTAGATTATTATTTTCAAAATTGAATAACAATCCAGCATCACTTGCTAGAGGATGAAAATCCTACTATGCTGTAAAAAGGACAGTAGTGTTGTTGCCCAATAGATGACAGTTAATCAATAAACTGGAAATATAATTAATAAATTTCTTAGTATAAAAATAGGATTGATTGCAATTACTTACAATGCCATCTTTTTGAAGTCTATTTGTTACTGTCATTTTGAATATGTTACTAATGAGTAAAACTTTGTTTACATTTTTAGGCAATCAAAAAAGTTTCTTAATAAGTGCCATCTGTTAAGGAATAACAAAACCAACGATGTCACAACAAAATGTATGTTGGATTGATTCTTTTATATAACAAGGAGACTATACATATATCTCGATGTCTAGGTATAATTTCTTTATTAAAAAAGCTGATTGGATTAGTTATCTTTCAAACGTTATAAATGCCGCGCGCTTACACAGTGAAAAAGAGTATCCAATACATCTGTTTAATACATAATAATTCTAAAGGTTCATATTAGAATATAGCATAACATAAACGAGGAATCCTACACGTTAAATGTTTATTGGTTCATAGGCGAAATTTAACAATATCCTTTAATTTTCGTAGGAATACATTATTTCAGATTTTAGCAAATGAAACAATATGGCTCTAATATGCCTACTTATATACGAATTAAATATTCAAAGTCATGAATTACTAAATTTTGGTAGTGATTCCAAAATTTTACAAGATAGGTTTTCTGTTTGTTTTAGTACACTCTATCGATATGTCAAGATTCATATTGACTTTTAAAATAAAAAATGGACTCAAAAAGTTGCATACTACTTTATAGATGCAGTTAAACTAAAAACATTTGAAACGTTATGATGTCTAAAGGGTGCAATAATTACTAATATTTATGTAAAATATTTCAAATTGATACAATAAACAAAAATGGCATATTTTGAAATTTAAATAAATTAAATTCATACACATACGATTCTTCACCATTTCACCAATTCATGTTTGTGATGATGTCATGTCAGAATACATATCCGTGCCCCCAATATGCCAACTGAAAGTTAATTCTGTAAACTAAAAAGCACTCAGTCAATATCGTTATAACGTCAAAATTACGTCAGTACGAGAAGATTGTGTAATTTTGATCTCGGCGATATCTACAGGTGATTCAAAGTTGACAGGATTGATCTACCTAAACACAAAAGATTCATGTACTCACTTTACAATACGCCACAAAATTAGAGTACCTCTTCATAAAGTTAAAATTGTTTTAATATTCAATTGGCTATATAAAATATGAAAGTTTTACTAGAAGAGTAAGTCCAGATTAAAAAACACAATTCACAAATATTAATATAAAACCTGTAATAACATGGTTTATATTTAAGTATTAAAGTAATGATACCAATTGTAATAAAAAAATAATTTCTTTTATAAATATATTGCAAAACACAGGAATTAAAAATGGTCACCCTTGTGACATCATGCACTGATGTTAACTTCGATAATTCTCGGCAGATCTGTTATTTGACTCTAAACCAACGATAGCATAGAAATAGGAAGAAAAATCATTGCAGCTTTGGTTTTTATATAGAATATTATTATGCATTATAAAAATGACATTATTTCGAAGTTACTAATGTTCATGATCACGAGTATCCCGCACTACAGATGCAACACAACACGAATATACCATTTTATAAAAGTTATTAACTTCAAAGCCAAACCTATCAGATAGTTCAACAGGATACCCACTTCCCAATAAAATTCTCATGACATTAATACTACTTTTAAAATTGTAACAATCAACTTGACTATTTCAATGTCAGTGCACTTCTATTAAGAACTATAATTAAGGCCATTTTTATAGTACGCTCACATGATAAGTGATACCAATTTGTTTATCTTTTATGTGAACTTTGCATATATCATGTTTTTATTCATCAATTTATTCACTTCCTATTTCTATTACGGGTACAAATTTAATTATAATAATGAACCCACTTATATTGACCACCGAATGGTTTCAGTCTGTTACCATAAGGTACAGAGGCTAAGGTGAGAATTTTAAAAGAATTTATGTCTACAACACGGAGTCTACGAGATTATGATCAGTTTTAATAATTGATACTTATAAGTTCAAATCAGAATAATAAATCTATAGGGTACAAATTTGAGGAACAGATTATTGAAACGATTTTCTTCAGACCTATGTTTGGTCCTTAAAGGGTGAGCTTCTTCCCCACCTTTAGCCTCTGAAAACCCAATCACTATAATCTAATCACTATAATATTAAAACATGTCCATATCATCATTATTGCACA